GTACATGTAAATATATACCTACATGTACATGTAAATATATACCTACATGTACATGTAAATATATACCTACATGTACATGTAAATATATACCTACATGTACATGTAAATATATACATACATGTAAACATATACCTACATGTACATGTAAACATATACCTACATGTACATGTAAATATATACATACATGTAAACATATACCTACATGTACATGTAAATATATACATACATGTAAACATATACCTACATGTACATGTAAACATATACCTACATGTACATGTAAATATATGCCTACAATCGCCGCACGTACATCTCAGCATGAGTATAACAACACAGCGTACCTGATCAGGTGAGCGCGGCCGGCATACAGGTGTGACAACAGCTCCAGGTTCCTGCACACCTGGTTCACGGTCGGCGTGACGACGCTCGGCAGCGACGCGCCCAAATACGGCAGCGTCGCCATCACCACGGCAACCCAGTAACGATGCAGATGCGAGTTGTGCTGCTGCCGCAACCCGCCCAGCACCGCCGACAGAAACAGCTGCTGCCCGGCGATGGTCGCCGCGGCGACGCGCGCCTCGGACTTTCGTTCGTTCTCCGCAGCCGCGTCCGTCCGCCAGGCGTCGATCTGAGCTTCCAGCTTCACGAGCGAAGCGGTGACCTTGAGCAGACTCGCGAGATACGACTCCGCGAGTCCGTCTGCCGCGTCCGCGGGGGCGCCACCGTCTAGGCGCGCGTCGTGCACGCACGCCGCCACCAGGCGCAGCACCGTCTCGCGCGCGCCGCACTTTGCGAGCGTGTCGGCGATGTAACAAGCGAACGCTCGCCCCGCGTCCCGCGTCAGCGTGACGAGCTCCGCCGCCACCAGGTGGAGCACCTCGGAGGCGGCGAGACGCACGCGCCGGTTCGCGGCAACGTCGTCCGCCGTAGGACCGCCGCCAGGGGGCGCCGCCGTCGCGTAGTAGCTGCGCGCAAACCGCAGACACAGCGCGATGACCGTCTCCAGGTGGCGCTGCGCTCTCAACGACGACGACGACGATGACGACGATGATGACTCGTCGGCGTGGCGGTGTCGGGTTAGAGCCACCAGGAGGCGCTGGTCGTTCGCGCCCGTCGTCGCGAGAGCGCAGACGGCTAGCCGCGGGTTCGCGCAGATGAGCGCGCGCAGCGACGACAACGAGTGCAGACACCGCGCCGCGTCGTACGTACCGCGGTACACCAACAAGTGAACGTGCGCCGGGTGCACCTGCCCGTCGTCGCCACCAGGCGGCGGGTCCGGGGTCGGCGCGGGGTCGTCGTCGGGGACGACGCGCAGGAGGATTTCGTCGATGATGCTGCGAGCGATCGCGTGCGCGGCTTCGGCGGAGTCTGGATGCTCAGCTTCTGTGAGGAACCGTGTCTCTCCGTGTTCCCCGCTGTCCGTGAACGCTCCCCCGGCCGCCGACCCCGCCTTCCCAGAATCCCCGCTGCTGCCGGTCGAGGACGCCGCGTCGTCGTCGCCCGTTGCCGCCGGCGACGACACGTCGCAGCAGGACGCGGCGCGCGGCTGCAGCGGTGGCGCCATCTTGCTGCCGACCCCCGCGATCGTCGCCGACCTCCCCCGGGGGGCGCCACCATCCGGTGCGACATCGGAAGAGGTCAGAGTAGAAGGGATGTCCCCCACCAGGTGGCGATCCTTCGACGGTGGCTCCCCCTGCACGGGAAACACCGGATCGTCAGAGACGTAGGAGGCGAGGGATGGCGCGCTGGACGATCGGCCGGTAGGGGGCGCCGGCGGCAGCGGCGGCGGCTTCGCAACGTGGTACATGACGTTTCCGTCGACGCTACTGATCGCGTAGATCTTTGCCTCGTGATCGCCCGAGTCGTCCCAACAATCTGTTATCATCTGCAATTGCAAACGTCGGCGAGTCCAGAGTCATTGTGACGTCACCGTCACTGTCGAGTTCACAGAAATATATCGATGCGCTGTCGCGAAATGTGTCGGCGAAATACCGCCTTGTTTACTTCCAAGTAAATCAATTAATCAGAATAATAATAAACATAAAATAAGTATCGTTTAATAATAGTTTTAATTAATTAATTAAAACATTAGTTAATTAACCGATTATAATTAATTGTAATATATTATCTATATAAAATATAATTGTCTTATTCAATGTAGATTATTACTATGCTGCTATTGTAGTTATCACTGTTCAAAATTATCTAATTAAATATAACACACAAGTAGTAATTATTCGACGTATCTCGTCAGCGAGCGTTGACAGGTGGCGCTGCCGGCGTCGTACCTTGCCGGCCGGGGCGACGGGCGTACGCTGCAGGGAGATGCGAGCCGTATCCGGATGCAGCAGCAGCAGCAGCAGCGGCGCCAGCAGCCGCGGCGCGTCACCGTGCGACAGCGCCTGATTGGTCCACGCCTCGGCGGCGGATCGCAGCGGCCCCGTGCCGTCGTGGAGCTTGTCCAGAACAACAAATGTGCACCTGATGGCAGGTAACGGAACTAACATGAGAGTCCTGATATATATATATAAATCTGTATATATGTGTATGTGTATATATATGTGCATGTACATATGTTTATGTGTATATGTATATATATGTGCATGTAATTCCGTCACATTTTTGTCCGACCTGAAAATGTTTAAACGACGCGCTCCTACTCCACATCGCGTAACCCTCTACTGAAATTCACCGTCTCACTATGAGGGAAGCCCTGACATTCGGACTGTCTGCCCGCACAGCCTCTGTCGCTCCATCCACGACCAGCACTTGGACCGTCGCGGCCGGACACCGCATGCCCCATGGAGGGACAGTCCCCTGACACGCGTGGACGTGCTTACCTGTGTGTCGCAACTATATCGGAGGTGCCACCGTCAGGTTATCAGGTGCGACAGCAAAATCAGAGTTTCTACAAAGGTGAAACAGTTTAACCGGGGGAGGATGCAAAAGGAACTTTGACAACCAGCGGAACTATAAGTAGCCGGGGTCGGAAGGGTCGGGCTGGGGGCGGGGGGAAGACTGGGGAGGCTGAATACTCCTAGCACAGGCGGTGCACAGCAGGGAGAGGTACTTGAGAAGCAACTGTTCAAAAGTCTAAACAAGATTTAGATTCATAGGTAATCACAGAGAAGCACATACATAGGCACATCACCACAGAAGTCATCAGTGCAAGGGATTACAATCATGTCGATCGCTCATTGGTTACACACAATTTGTCGGCGGTGCACGCACGTCATTGGTTATAAAGAACACGCGTCGATTGTCTACGGTCACTCAAAAAATGACTCGTCGTCATGGTTACCTCAGTATCGTCAGGCTACATTAAATCATAACAAAAAATAAACAACAGCCGAAAATTTGCTGGAGGTAACTTGAAACTTAAGAATTTATAGCAATGTGATATCACACAATTATGTACACACCTTAACGCAGGAGCGGAAATGGATTGACCTAGACTATCAATTATAATGGTCTAAGGTTCGCATTCAACACTGGCGCCCATCTTGCAGATCTCCGATCGCGTGCGAGGACAATCAAGATGATGGAGAATAACACTATCTAAAAAGTTTGATATATAACTCACACCAGATATTACAGGTAGGTATGCGCGGCATCTTAGCAAGCTAGGGTATGACTGGATGTGACAGTTGGTTTTACGTGTCCTTAGTGACATGTGTTCAGGGTTACGCGTCTATGGTTAGTGGACAGTGTCAGGGTAGAGTCCATTGGTCGTAGTGATCTCACGTGTCAGGGTTAGAGTTAGGTGGTTACGATCGACAGCTGTCAGGGCTAGAGTTCTAGCGCTTAGCTAGACAGGTGTGAGGGTTAGAGTGATATGGATTCAGTTGACGAGTCGTCAGGGATTCACGACGTTGGGATAGAAATAGTACGATGCGACAGTGTCAGGGTCTACAGAGTTACATCTAGGTTAAGCGGTGACACAGTGTCAGGCCGCGTTAGAGTTATGCGCGTTATCCGTGACAGTGTGAGGGTTAGAGTTATTCGGTTAGCTAGACAGTGTCAAGCGGTTAGGCTTTCAATGTTCTGTTTCAAAGTTAGGCTTAAGGGTTAGCTACAGCTCTGTGGTTTTCTGTTACATTATTAAATTCCACGTCGCCACTCGCCGATCTCACACCAGCCAGGGGGCGCATCGGTGACTCGGCTGAACCGCTGAAAGGCGCCAACACAAATAACGCACACACAAGACTGTGGACTTCAAGTCAGAGCATGAGATGCACACCAGACAACATCCGCAAAAAACAAACCGCACTTAAGATCCCAATAAAATAAAAAATATAACATTACAATGAAAGAAAATTGCGGAATAGCTTCATCAATGGTGTAGCAATCCAAAATAACATATACAGGGGGAGCGCTACATTCTAGTCAAATAACGCCCATACACTAACAGTTTAGACAAAATATACAAGATAGTCGTGTGCGTGTGAAAATTAAAGAAATAAAGAGAGTCGAATGTATAGAGCTTTCATTGAACCTTTCATGGGGAAAATTGCAAATGTCTCCCGCCATTCCGTCCCATTTGACTTTTCCTTTGACATTTTATACCGGTGTTTATCTGTAAGCTACTTTACATGAAGCAGGGTTGAACT